ATTTTGTCTTCCAATTTTTTTTTTTTAACTTTAATAACTAATCATGTAATATTTATCAGTTTGGCATGGAAATTAATTATGGCTTACTTAGGATCAACCAAAAAAAATAAGATACCTTTACTGCTGATCAAATATTTTATTACAGTACCAAGTAGTTGTGCAAACATACACATATTTTGCGATGAATGAAGAAATGTCATTATCATTTAGTCTTTTATTATAAAAATTGTCACGAAAAGTAGTCAGCATTTGGCCTTCCTCTAACAAGTTTTATAATGTTAAGTAATTGATAACATTCAAATTGCTTGAGGGTTGTATAAATGTTTGTTATTAACTAATTTTTATGTCTATTTTGAAAATCAGCACTTTTATAAAATCTTCAATTTTATAGTTTTTTTATTATGGACCATTGAACAACATAATACTAATAGTTTATAGTTTGCGTTTTTGAAAAATACTTTTGTGAAGCATTTATTTGACTTTCAGAGTTGAAAGAATTCATGTTAGTAACAGAAATCATTGAAAAAAAATATGCTCAAAATACGTTTGGTTACTATTCTAGAGTACCTGTAGGTTTAAAAAAACGAAGCTCTGATTTTAAAAATATTTGCAATTTATATAGCTCACTATACAATTCATAGTGATAAAGGTATGTTCTCCATCAGAGAATTACTCGTAACCTCTTTTAACACATTTTTTTTTTTTTTTTTTTTTTTGTTATTATTAGTGTGCAAATTGTTAAAAACATGAAAAATCACATTAAATTCTGTGATAATTTAAGTCTTGATATTTTAATTTTGTGGCAAACCGCCAAAAAGCTAAGGGGAATAACTTCTGCTTATTAAATTGCTAAGGTTATCTCCCCATACATTTACCTGCCATTGTGTTCGTTGACTGCTTCAAAGAGACAGCACATACAGTAGGGCCATTTTCATAGGATTTACTTTTTAGAAAGACTTTCCTCTTTTAAAGTAATATGGATTAACGTTACTAATTTGAGTATGCTAATAACAACAAAGTAATGTTTAAAAATGTCAGTGAAAAGACTTATTCTTTAATTTCAAATTCTTTCTTTTACACAAGTTGCTTTGCGTAAAAAGATAATTTGAACAATATAGTTAGAAACAATTTAATTCTCTTTTGAAAATATACAATTCTTTTCTTCTAACAAAACTTATGTTTCAATTGGTTGTAGTAAATAATATCTCGAGTCTCTTCTTAGCAGATATGGTGCATAGTACGTGTGTCTGTTGTCTGGCTGTTAAGTAATCTGTCGCCGCACTCACTATAACGGCAGCTGCTGCTGCTAACTGATTTAAAGTGTAACTCTCTTTTTCATCAGGGTCCACCCTTTATCTTTATTCTTTTCTTTCATACTTTACTTTCTTTCGTCTACCTGTACAAGTCTGTCTCATGGCACCGTCTCTGTTTTGTATGATTTACTTACACAATCACTGAAGTTATTCGATAAAAATACTTGTATTATTGTAAATAAACAGATTACAAGATTTATGAATGAACTTATCTGTATTCACGCTTAATAATGCAAATGAAATGAGGATAAGTATTTATGTTTTAGTGGAAACATGAACACTAACAATGTAATTATTGACCAATGATTCAGTGCAGAGCTAACAGGAATATGGACGACATATTTTTGTACTCCCTCCCCAATGTACAGACATACATTGTTAATTAAGATTTTCATTGCTTTCTAGATTTAGTAGCAAATGGAATAAATTTAAGAAATGGTTTTGTAAGAATTTAAGGAAATTTAATTTCATAGCATTTTTTTTTTCTTGACAGTTTTTTTTTTAAACTTTATTACTCTCTAATTTTTTTTTTTTAATGAATTGATACTTAAGTTCATTGACTTAAAAGACAATTCAACAACAAAGTTTTCTCCAATTTAATCACAAAGGCTTTCGAACAATTTTCTTAAAAATTTAACCCAATTTATCAAATTCTAAGAACGCACCCATGCAATTTATTGCATTGTAACAAAAGTGACATTGATGGTTATATTTGCATTTTTCTTTGGTTTAAAAAAAAAAAAAAAATTAACATGATCACCCACACAAGCTCTGTCTTTAAGCAGCTTAATAAATTTATAAATGTAATGAATTCCATTATTATATTTAATTTAGTTAAAACAAATTAGTCTATTAACAGTTTAAAAAGAAAATAAATTGTAAACCTGTTGGTGTTTTTAATAGTTTGAACATTTTCTTTTTTGACTTTTGTATTTCAAGTTTTTTTTTTATGCAATGGTTACCTTAAAATTAAAATACATGTTAAATTTCATGAAGAAAATTACAGTATTTTTTTCCTTTTTATGCTACAGAAAATTAATTTATATCTAAATGGAATAATAAAAAAAAAACGAAAGAATATTAATCTAAAACCCAGTGTGTCTAAAGATTTTAATTTTTTATTTTCTTATTGTTCAAAATGTGTGTGTGTAGTAGTGCTTAAATGAATTCTATTAGAATGATAAAAATGTGAACATTCAAACTGGGTTGTTTACTCTTTTAAAAAGTACCATAACATTTCTATTTGTTTCCAGCCTCACTGGATAGCTACTACTAAACAAACTGTTTAAATTAGTGTACATAACTTGTCAAATTAAGTCCAAGCTTGGGTTAAGTATTACAGACAGCTTCACAAATCTTTCAATCATTCAGTCACATTGAACTTAATAACCACTACAAATCATTTAAAATACAAAGAAATTGGATGAATCCTATTGAGAACAATTGCAAATATTTTTGTCTATGTGATGTCTAATAGAAAATAGTGGATGACTACTACTAATTTCCTAATCACATTTTGGGGGACCTTTCTTTTAATTTTTTTTTTTTTTAACAGTATTTCCTGCAGTTTATTATTGAAGAATTAATTTAACAAATATTAAGGTTTGACAATTTATTTTTTCTCAGAGAAAAATTGTTTATTTTTCCCATGATAGATGCAAAATATTTATTGTTCATTTTCATGCCTTGATCAGATTTATCATTTCTTTTTAGAATAACATCAAACTTTATGTAAAGTTCAACTCCATAAATGTATTTTCTCCAGATGTCACATAAGTTTTAGAAGAAAAACAAAACTAGCTAATATTACATTCATTTAATATTTGTAGCAGAATGGATTATCAAAATGTTATACAACTACAGAAATAAAACTGGATTAATCCAATTTAACTTTGTCAAGATGATGGTAACACTTCCATAAGTAATAAATAAGGTTGATGGAAAGTATTTACTTGATTTATAACAGTTTAAAAATCAATCTTTATCCATTTCTTATAAACACTCATTTCCTGTGTAGTTTTCTCATTTTTCACTGACAAGATTTAATACATGTCAATGAAAAAATAGTAAGCTTATTTAAAGTTTGCTATTTTCTTCATTGACATGTATTAAATCATTTGGAAACTAGATCACTTTAACTTGTATACAAATCCTAACATTTTCAGTTTTAATATTTTTATTTGCACATCAAATAAAATATAATAATTTCAGATGATAAAATTATAATGGATTATTCACAATTTTAGATCAGGTATAGTATACACAATGTGCACTTATAGAAATTATTATTAAATTTTATGTTTTTAAAAAATGTCAAATTTTCAAACAATTCAAAAAAATTTTGTTCTTCGATGACTTACAAAGATTTTCGTTGCCATTTGTACCAGTTTTACTCAATAAAATAAAGCATTAATAACATTAATGAATAGCCAAGTTAAATTTAGTTATTATCCTAGATATAATATGTATTATATGCAGCTATATTTTTATAATGGATGAATATAACCATGATATCTGATTTTATTATTTAGGATTATATTATGAATCAGCAAATTTTTAGTTGAAACATCAACAAAATCTTAATTTGAAGAAAAGTAAATATAAATATATAGAAGTCAAATCAACAAAGATCTGCACATATTAAAGAGAAAGAAAGCTGATCAATGATTTAAAAAAAAAAAAAAAAAAAATTGTGTTTCTTCAGTCTGTAAATATAGAGTATTTCATCATTGTTATTTTAATGTTTTGTTATTTGTATTGATTCTTTGCACCTATTTAATTCCTTTGTTTATCTTCTTTACAGGTATGGCTATCTTCTCAGTGTGGCTGTGATTTCTCTCGGAAAAGGGAATGATGGCTGGTCAGGTGAAACTAAACAAACTCATTTATGATGCTGTCATTAAGTTGTGCTGTGAGCAGCTGGACTCTGAGCACAGCAGTCGCCTTGAAATCGATGGTATCATCTGTATTGCCACTGAAGAGCCCGATAACCAAATTGTTGTGAAAATCCATGAAAAATTACGCAATGTCAGCATCAGTAGCAGCTCATCCAAAAACTCTCACAAACCATCAGACATAGCAGCAAGATCTGATGAAAATGTCAATCACTCTCACAGTATGTCAAGCCATGAGAATGGACATGATCAAGGTTATCACATGAGCAATGGCCTTGATATACCAGTTTCAAATAATACCAATCAACGAGAACTTTCCTATGGAAATGAAACTGCTCAAGAGTTAACAACCTCCGTCCTTGACCTTCCCGGAGTTAAGGATGAAAGCTGTCGGATAGTGGCAGAAAATAATATCCATCTTCAAAATTCTTATGGAGCAACTGCATTTCCCGAGAGTATTGAGACAGAGAGCAGATTGAGGCTCCAGAGTGAAACTTCCATGAGGCTCCAAAGTACCAGTTCCCAATTTACATCTGGATCAGCCATAATGCCCAACTTTCACACATCACAAACAGCCACAACCACATCATCTGGTCAGAGTTCAATTTTAGGAAAGTTACTCACTAGCTCCAGGAGAAACAAAATACGCTCCTCTATTTTACAGTCACAGAGAGGACGTTTTACCAAATGTATGATGTGCAGTGCTATGTTTCGAAGCCACAATCATTTACGTAATCATTTACGTTCAGGGTTTTGTGGGAAGCATAGGATTCAAACTGAAGCTAGTAGAGTAATGAATGTATTTGCTGCAAGTCGGCATGAGGCTAATGAGCACTTGCAATTAAAAGCTTCAACACAAGATGAAACACCATTGTCAACTGTTTCTGAAACTTCCACAAGAGAGGATGGACCTGCTGCCTCCAATGATAATGCACTATCAGAAAAACAAAGTCAGGAGTTTGAAGTTGTTGTCAAACCAGAACCACCTGACAATGGATATGAAAATAATAATCAGACTGTTAATGGCCAGTCAGACATGTCTTTAGAAGGTGTGGACATGAGCCAGCATGCAGAAAGTTTGCCAAATAGCTCACCAATTGAACAAAACCAGTCCTCTTCTGTTCTTTCTTTTCCTCCTTTAGACTCTGCTTCTCCAAATTTCCATGTTCAGTCAAGTGGTACCGTCAAGTCGACATATGAGGTAACTCTCCAGAGAGCAGCCTCAAAGTTTTCTATGTCTTCACAGTTATTTGGAACTGCACTGTCACGGAAAGTACGAGCCTCTGCAAGTCAGCACACTCGCAGCCAAATCAGCCCCAAACCAAATTTCAACGAACGGGGACATTTTCAGTGTAGTTTTTGCGCATTTGAAGTTCAGAACTGGAGCATCTTTGAGGCTCACAGCCAACGTGAGCATAATCGATCACTGTGCAAAGTATGTGGGGCAGCATTTACTTTTAGGACAAACAAAAATCGACACGAAAAAACTTGTGCGGGTCTAGTCCTCTTTACATGTGAAATCTGTGGGAAGAATTGTAAGCGTTCAGATGCGCTTCGTCTTCACAAAATCAAAGCACATCCATGGCGTTTTGAATTTACGACATAAGCCTAGATTGGGACTTTGTTTTCTTTTTATATTTTAGCTTTGCTTTTTTTTTTTTTTTTCTTTTTTTTTTTTATAAATAAATATTTTATACCTCTTCTGATTTGAATGGGTGGTCTGAAGAAAAAATATTGGAACGATTTAGGAATTGCTTTTCAAATATTTAAGTTCAAAAGCTTTCTTAGAACTGCAGTAAATCTACATAAAAGTTATATTTAACAAGTTTTTGGTAATTTATTGAATTAAAAAAAAAAATTAATTTTAAACTGGGTTTCTTGAGAATTTTTGAAAATAAAGAGGAGACATTTTTAATTTTATTGTACATTTATTAGGAATCCTAAAAGTAGCTATATGACAACTTCTAACCATGTTAAAATGCTTTGAGAACTGACTAAATATCCACAAAGAATTTATTGCTGCATACCACCGAATTTTTTTAATAACTTGGCCAACAATTCTTTTTGTAGTATATGTGAATTGCATAATTATTTATTTGTTGTAAACATGGTGAATTTATCTCTAGAAATATCTTTTTTTCTTTTTTTTTTTAACCCTCCATTAGACCGTCAATTGTTTCATATAAGCACATAATTATCTGTTCTAAGGATAGCTAGAAATCTCTTTATGCTGAATATTTGGGATAATTTTGTTTTCAAAATACTTTTTTTTCTTTTAGTTACAGAAAATAAAGCTCTTATTGCATGAATTCATAATTTTTGTAATCAAGTTTTGTTTACATTTTGTTTTACTGCTTGGTATTTTAACAGTAAACACCAAAAACTGATTGATTTAAATTTTTGGAGAATTTTTCTTTCTTTTTTAAATGTAAAAAAAGGAAATTGAAAACAAGTTATTTTTGGATTAGCTTTTAGTTCTGTTGCCATAATTTGATTATTGTTGGCACTGGCACCTCTCTGGTCTTTTGATGTGTACAAATCTGATTAATCTGTGATCTTGAATGGTATATTCAGTGGTCAAATGCCATAAAGAAATCGTCCCACTGAAAAATCTCCATTCCATTTTAACATTTTGGTTAATTTTGGCCGTCCTGGTTTCCAATTGAACCTGGGTTGTTGTCCAGATGCATTTTTAAATATCAATCTGCTTGCTGTTTCACTCCCAGTCACTACCTTCCTCCCACCACCCCCACCCAAATTTTTACTGCTTGTGTATTTCTCTCAAACTGCTGGATTTATTTATCATTTTAAACAGTATTTTGAGGAACGTTTTAAAAAAAAAAAAAAAAAAAAAAGTGAAAATGACTATTTTTCTACTCTTTACAATTCAAATTGTTATATTCACATTATCTGTATATTTCTACACTCAAAAATGCTCACTTGTCAGACATTAGAAAAAAAATCTTGAGGATTATTTACAAGCCTGTTTTTATTATGTTCATATTTTTTTTTTATAATCACTTTTTTGATCAACAAAATACACAACAATGTAAAATGCAGATGATTTTAAGCAGCATCTGCAAATTTGATACTACAAATTTGAGTGTTTTTATAATTCAATAATTTTTCAATTTTAATATGCACAAATTTTTCTATTCTCCATATGTATCAATAGGAAAATGATGGGCTCTGGTATGATTGTAGTTAAAAACAAAATTTTTTTTATTTTGTCTCTTTCATCAGTAGAAAATGAAATTATGCCACCATCTTTAAGCTTCATTGGATATTTGGTCAGTTCTCTACATTTTATAATCATAAAATACACTAATTATTCACATAAAAACACAAAATATGGGCAATTAATATTAATATTTCTTGATGACATCAAATATCTTAAGTTTTATATTAGTGCTAAGGATATGAGTTATTGTTTTTAAAATTTAAAAGTTATCAAATGCATTGTTATCTTGATGTTTAACTGCTGGTGGTATTGCTTACTAAGAAAAGCAAATGCTAACAGTAATATTTTTCAGTTTTTATCATTATTATTACATTTTATTTTACTTTTTTTTCTTTTTTTTTTTGTAAATAATTTTTTTCTAATAAACTTGAAATTCTTAAAAGTTTTTTTTTTGTTTTTTTTTTTTTTGTTTCTCCTTTTAAATCCCCCAGTCTTTCTGAAATTAAGCGTTTTCCATAGATTTTCCTACTCTCATATTCAAGAGATTTAATGATAACTTGCCACATTTTGCAACAAATTAAAAAAATGTTAAATCTATCAAAATTTGTTATAAATTTTAGGATTTAAAAAGAAATAAAAAACTTGGGCTATTAAAAAAAATTCTCTTAGCTCTACCTGATGTGGATATTCTTTCAAAATAATATTTTACTGCTTTCTAAATAAGCATTGCTATTTAAAAAAAAAACAACTTATGAAATCAGACACCCTGTTTTTATTCTCAATATTTTAGCCATTACTGCATGTTCTTAATATAAAAATTTTCAATTTTGTGTATGAAAAGCTGAGTTCAGGGAAAAAAAAACAAAAAAAAAACAACAAACACAACCATCATTATTTTGTTTTGTATTTTCTCCCCTCTCCTTCTGGTATGATTATGTTCTGCTGAAAAGCTTTATCAATGTTATACTTCTAATGCTGTACTAGCAACTGTTTCATTATACTTCTGAGGAAAAAAAAAAAAAAACACACACACACACAATAAATCATTTTTTTTTTTTTTTTTTTTAATCAAATTGCCAATATTTCACTATTTGATTTTGAGTATATATATTATTAACTAAAATATTCCAATAGTATCATTACTGTCTTTTCTTCTTTATCCCTAATAATTTAGGAATTTGAAATGCACATTCTTCAGCAGTTAAAACTGTTCCAACTCCAAGCATAACACATCAGATTTAACATATCTCACCAACTTTTTTTAATCAGATATGTTGATGTTTGTTTTATGTCATTTTTCTTCCATCCTGTTAACTATCAGAAAGTAATAATCATCACTTCTGCATTATTATTTAAAAGGAAAAAAATAAATAAATAAACAAAGAGAGAGTTCTGGCAGTGTTTCCCTCCATTTTATCAATATGTGTATGCATTACAGTGATCTAGAGGCATTACTTGAGTCTGTGATATTTTAGTCATGAGATACCCCGGCCACTGTAAGCAACAGAGCATGATGAATTACCTTCTTTTGCGAAAAGCAGAAAATGAAGGAAAAAAAATAAAATGCGTAAATAAAAATGATATCCATACAAATTATCAAGTATTGTACAAGTTTGGCCCAGATAAGTAAATACTTGACAAAAGAAAAAAAAAATGCCTTAGATATTTAGCATGCTTCATGACAGAACTTTTCTTTTAACATTAATATTTTTGTTTTGTTTGTCCTTTGGTTGGATTTGAAAGATTCTCAACAAATTATCTTCATATGACCTCAAAAGGAAATTTTTTTTTTTTTTTATTAAGAATATGTTCTGTTTTCTAGACTGCTTTATAGCATGCTGTGTTTTGTCAATATTTTATTTGGCCAAAAAAAAAAACCAAAAAAAAAAAACAAACATGTCCTTATGAAAACTGTCATTGAGGAAATCATTCATGTTGGCTGTGTGGGGAGATGCTGATAATACCTGTTGTTGTTACTTCTATCTTTCCTACTATTACTCCCTAACAACATTCCCTCACTTTGCATACCTCTATGTAGTCAGTCACAATGTCAAACACAAGTAAGCAATTTATGGCCGTACACATCTATTTACCTTTGTCTTGCATTGTGATATAAGTACTGAGGGAGAATTCCCCAGAATTACAAAGATTAAAATGAGCCAGTTTAAATCTATACTTGCCTGTTGGCCTTTCTAAAGAAAAAAAAAAATTTGATGTGCTATGTCTAGAGCAAACAGACCACCAATTCTTTCTCTCCCCCCACCTTATTTGTGAGTTATATTTTATTTCTATTGCAATTGGTCTGTTGATAACAGTTGCTAATTAATTTACAAAACTAAACATTATTAATCTAGTAGCACAAAGTTAAGATGCTAATTTAGGAGTCTCTTGGAAATGTTTTAAAATCACAATGGTTTACAATTTGCATGGTTAAAAGCATTTTATTCTCATATTTTTATTAAAATCCTCCTCTGTCTCTATGTGTATGTATATATATATATATATACACACACACACACAGACTAAATGTTCCATGGAACTAATGCATAACAATTTTCCCAGTATACTAAACTACTTTAATTATACTAAATATATCCATACTGTTGCCAAGCTTGCTTACTGTAGTGAATATTTAAAACCTTTTTTCTTTTAACTGATTATTTTGCTTCATTACAGACTATATGAGAAAAGAATATCATGTAGATCTGTGTGCATCAGATTTTACTTTGATTTTTTTTTTTTTTTTGAACAATCTTCATAAACATTTTTGCTGCAATGAGTTAATACTACACACAATTCTACTTTTTTATATTCCAAACTCAAATTTTTCTTCTTCACCTTTTTCATAAAAAATTTAAAAAAAAACAACAAAAAAACAGAATGAATTTTTATGTCCATTTCTAATGTACTTCTATAATAATAATAATAATAATGATGATGATGATAACTATATTTCTGAAATTAGCATTTCTCCTTTTGGTTATTCCTACAAATTACTGGTATTTCAATTATACACTGTAGTTGTTGTGAAAAAAAAAAAAAAAAATATCAAGTTGTGATCCCCCACCCCATCCCCAACTTTTTTAAAAACTTTCTACACAAAAAAAT